CCCGGCGGCAAGGATGAGGGCGGGCTCGGAGGGCAGCGGGGAGGGCGAGGGTCTCTCCAGCCTGCGGGCCTTCGCCCACAGCTCCTCGCTGCACGGCATCAGCCACGTCTTCGCCTACGGGGCCGTGTCGCTGCGCCGCGTGCTGTGGGGCGCCTTCTTCCTGGGCTCGCTGGGCCTGCTGCTGCTGGTCTGCGCCGAGCGCGTCGCCTACTTCCTCACCTACCCCCACGTCACCAAGCTGGACGAGGTGGCCGCCCACAACCTCACCTTCCCGGCCATCACCATCTGCAACCTCAACGAGTTCCGCTTCTCCAAGATCACCCGCAACGACATGTACCACGTGGGCGAGCTGCTGGCGCTGCTCAACGACCGCTACGAGATCAGCAACCCACAGCTGGCCGAGCCCCACGTCCTGGCCGCCCTGCGCGACAAGGCCAACTTCAAGAACTTCAAGGCGAAGCCCTTCAGCATGGCCGAGTTCTACAACCGCACCGGCCACGACCTGGCCGACATGCTGCTGCAGTGCTCCTTCCGCGGCGCCAACTGCACCGCCCGCAACTTCACCGTGGTGAGTGCCGGCCTCGGGGCGCGGTGCCCGGCTGGAGAAGGGGGCTGCACCGGGGCGGGGTGGCCACGTGCCCCCCCGGGAACCGTGAATGGATGCGGGTGTCCTGCCAGGGTGAGCCCCTTCTCCCGACCCGTGGCCGTCCCGCCGGCGCGTCCCACCGCCTGCAGCACGTCAGCCTCTGCCCGCCTCCCCGGGCACTGCGGCGGGCCGGCTGCCAGCCAGGGGTGCCCCCGCCCCGCACTTGCTGCAGGGGTGCCAGGCGGCTGGGAACAGCACCCAGGCTGGAGCCATGCTGAGCCGGGGGGCCCTGCGCCGGGCCGGGTGGCTCTGCCTGCGTGCAGCCGCACGGGCAGGGGATGCTGGTGGGTACAGGATGCTCACAGGTACAGCCCATAGCTCCGCTCCCTGCGACAGCCCTGGATGCCACCTGGGCACCAGCAGCAGCAGCTGTTTCTCCCGGGCTCTGTTTGCACACAGGCTCCCACGCCCACAGCTCCTCCGTGCAGCCTGCCCTGGTGCGGGTGGGGGTCCCCTGCGCCAGAGCTGTCCCCCCACAGACCGTGGGTGCCTGGCCCCGGTGCTGCCCCCAGCACCCCCTGCTGCTCCTGGGGCTGCACCCGCTCTGCTCTCAACCTGGGGGATTGCCAGTGCCCGTGTGCTCCCACCACACCTGCCATGCCCCGGTGGCATGCCAGCGGGGCCGAGCTGCGTCCCCTGGGCTGTGTGTTGACCCCTGGGTGACATGCCAGGATGCTGGCAGCTGCCAGAGCGTGGGGGGGGGGGGGAGCAGGGCTGCCACGTCCCTCTGCAGGCATGGGCTGCTGTGGGCAGTGGGGCAGTGATGGGAGGAGGTGCCCTCCCTGCCCTGTCCGTGCAGCCCCAGGTGGGCACAGGGACCCCCGACCCAGGGCTCGGGTCCCCCAGGCAAACCTTGGCCACGGGCAGCCTGTGCTGGGTCCTGCAAGACCCACCTGGGGCAGCGCCTGCCCGGGAGGGATGGGCAGGGGCGGTGGCACAGGCAGGACAGGCGCATCCTTCGTGCTGCAACAGCGCCAGGGAAGCAGCGTGCTCGGTGGAGCTGGGCAGCCTGCGCCCGCTGTGCACAGCTCTGCTCAGTCCCCATCGCCATCACCGTGGGCTTGGCTGCGCTATCACAACAGCAATTACCATCAGCTTAAGACTCTTTAGTGCGCGAAATTAATTTTCCTTGGGAGCTCAGTTGAAAACCATCCCTTTTTGGCAGCTCCGCGCTCCCCATGCCCTTTGCTGGACCAGCTCTGCCGGTGCCCCTGTGGCAGGGCCAGGCAGCAGCAGCCTCGGGGTGTTGAGGGCTGGGATGTGCCGTAGGAGGGTCGAGGGTCCCCAGAGCAGGACCCGGGGTGGCACATGCTGCATGGCAGCAGCTCGCTGCACCTTGGAAGCCGGCGCCTCTCCAAGGAGTGTGGCTGAGCCACCGGGGCCTTGGCGTGCCGCTGGTGTGGGGGGCCGGTGCCTGCCCCAGGGGTGCGCGGGAACCCGTCTTTGCTCCTGTGCTGATGATCTTGGCATGTGCACGCTGTGCTGTGCTGCTCCCGCTGCCCCCAGGGTCACAGTCACTGCTGGGAGGGTCTGGCTCTGCCCACGTGTGCTGCACAACTGGTCCTGCTGCCGCCTCGTCTCCGACGGGTGGTGAGAAACTTCTGCCTGAGCAGCCGTGGTGGTCCCCAGCACACGAAGCCCCCCCACGGGACTGCCCTGGCCTGGCTCAGCCCAGCTCAGTCCAGCCTCCAACTGCACCCGCTGCAACTTTGCCAGCTGAAAATACAGAGCTAATGCTGGGGCTTAGCCACAGATAATGATCCTCTGCCCTGGGCCTCGGTGCTGAGCCGGCAGCTCCCGGCACCGTGTCCCGTCTGGTGGCCGTGGGCTCTGGGGTTGCCAGGGCTCCCATCCCGTGCCTGGGCCGGAGAGGTCGGCCGTGCGCGGCGTCTTGTCCCAGCCCCATCCCCGGGGTCCCCGAGATCCCCAGGCACATGGCAAGTGTCCAAAGCAAGGACCATCCGGGCTGGGGCTGTGCCCCCCCGGTTACTTCCCCCCCCAGGGCCGGCAGGGCTGGGGGGGCCTGATGGTGGCTCACCCCGAGCGTGGGGACCAGGAGGGCTGGCAGTGCCGGGGCCGTGTCCCTGTCCCTGTCCCCATCCCTGTCCCCCCCCAGCTGCTGCCGGGCCCAGCACATCCCTGTGCCGGGCAGCCGTTGCCATGGCAGCCGCCCCCCCTTCCTCCTTGGGCAGCGCGTTGCCATGGTGACGGCTCCCCTCTTTGGGAGCAGCCCGTTGCCACAGCAGCATCCCCCCCCCACCCCCCCGCCGCCAGTGGGGCAGGATGGGGGGGGAACGTTCAAAGGGGGGGGGCGCCCCGACCCCATGGGGCAGTTATGGCCCCCTGGGCCACCCCCCACCCCCAGGCAATGGGTCAGTGACGGGACTTGAGGGGGTCATGGCTGCAGCCCCCTGTGCCCGGGGCAGCCCCTCCGTGGGGTGGGGGCCATGGGCCCCTGTGTGGGATGGGGCTCTGCCCTGGAGGCACAAAGCAGGGGGTAAGTCAGGGAGAATGGGAGATGGGGGTCTGGGGGGGGGGAGGCGGCTCAGGGTTGTTCAGTTCAGGGTCACGCTGGGGGGGTCTGGGCAGGGTCTCTGCCCCTGGGTGCTGGTCCCTGGGGGCTCTGGGGGCATTGGGGGCCCTGGCTGTGGGTGCTGGTCCCTGGGGTCCCTGGCATGGGGCAGGCTCCCAGGTCCTGGTGGGGATGATGGCCTCTGCCACTGTGGCTAAGCCCAGCCCTGGTCCCCATCACCGTCCCGGCTCGTGTCCTCCCACTCACGTGTCCCCATGCAGCCCCACGTCCCCCCAGAGCCGTGCTGAAACCCAATCCCCCTGCAGAGCCCCGGCAGAGCTGCACGGGCTGGGGCGCGTCTTTGTGCCGGGGGTGCCGGCACCGTGCCGCCTGCTCTGGGCTGGCACTTTCCTGGCCTCGCTGGGCGCCTTCCTGCTGAAGGTCAGGGAGCGGGTCCGGCACCACACCGCGTACCCCCGCGTCACTGTGCTGGACGAGGCGGAGGGACGCGTCCTTGTCTTCCCTGCCATCACCCTCTGCAACGAGAACCGCGTGCGGCGCTCCCAGCTCACCCCCAACGACCTGTTCTGGCTAGGCAGGGAGCTGCTGGCGGTGGGGAGGGAGGATTTTCCCCGCTACTTGCGGGCGCTGGGGCGGCCCCCCGACCTCGCCGGCTTCTTCCCCAGCAAGAGCTACGACCTGGGCGCCTTCTACCAGCGCGCCGGGCACCCCACCCGTGAGATGCTGCTGCGCTGCCGCTCCCGCAGCCGGGACTGTGGCCCCGAGAACTTCACCGCCGTGAGTGCCAGCACCACCGCCATGGCCATGGCCACCACCACGGCTGGCTCTGCCCAGGGCAGGACCCACAGCAGCCCCAGCCCCGGCTGGCTCTGCCCTGGGCAGGGCTTGGGCAGGACCCCCAGGGCTGAGCAGGTTTTGGGGCCATGGGGTGTGCAGGCTGTGGGGCGGTCAGCTGCAGGGTTGCGCAGGCTGTGGGACATTGGTGGGGTGGGGGGGCACAGTGCCTGCCGTGTGTCCCCCAGCCCCAGGTGCTTGGCAAAGCTCCCACCACGCTGCCCCGGGGCGGCTCCTTTTGCCCACCCTGCACCCATGGGGCCGTGGGGAAGCGTGGTGGAGATGGGGAGTCACGGGGGGATGTGGGGCTGCGGCTGCAGTGCAGGCACGGGGGGACCGGGGTTGGGGGGGCGATGGCCGGAGTGTGCAGCTCTCAGTCCCAGTCCCCACAGGACAGCTGGCCGTGGGGAGGGGGGCGTGGGGCTGTGGGGGCAAGGGTGCCATGGGGGGGCAAGGGCAGGTGGTCTCTCCTCGCTGAGAAGTGGCCATGGAGGCCTGTGGAGGCTTTTTCTGTGCTGGGGGGCTGTGGGAAGAGGTGGGTCAGCCCCAGGTGGGGGGGTCTGTGGGGGCCTTCCAAGGGGCCGGGGTCCTGTAGCCCGCCTGGCTGGGACTGGGGAGGGACCATCCCTCTGCCGCAGTGAGCGCTGGGGTCTGCAGGGCAGGCCATGGGGCGGGGATCCCCCAGGGCCATTGGGACCCAGCAGAGCTGAGGACACCACGCTGGGGCAGGGACAGCAGCAGTCGCCCCATCGCCCCATCCGCAGCCCCACGCTGGCCCCAAAGGGGAAGAGATGGATGCACCAGCCCCTTCCCTGGGCACAGACTGGTGGGGTGATGGGATCCTGCATGGGGAGCACTGGGATCCTGCCCCGGGGCTGTGCTGGGTCCCCGGGCACTGCATCCCCCCGCCCCAGCCCCGCTCAGTGGGCGCAGGGCAGGTGGGCGCCCAGCTCCCGTCCCCCAGCACCCCGAATGCCACTGTCCCACGGGCAGCCCCCGTGGTGCTGAGGATCCTGCCCTGTCCCTGCAGATCTTCACCCGCCTCGGCAAGTGCTACACCTTCAACTCGGGGGGACCAGGCCGGGAGGTGCTGACCACGCTGCAGGGCGGCGCGGGGAACGGCCTGGAGCTGATGCTCAATGTCCAGCAAGAGGAATACCTGCCCGTCTGGGGGGACACGGGTGAGGGCCCCCCCCGCAGCCCTGCCCACGCCCGGCTGCTGCCCCGCACCCCCGACGCCCTCCCTGCCTTGCAGACGAGACCTCCTACGAGGCGGGGGTGAAGGTGCAGATCCACAGCCAGGAGGAGCCCCCCTTCATCGACCAGCTGGGCTTCGGCGTGGCGCCTGGCTTCCAGACCTTCGTGTCCTGCCAGCAGCAGCGGGTATCCGGCCGCTCTGCCTGGGCGGTGCAGGGAGAGGGCTGTGGGCATACAGACCCCCCCGGGGCTCGGGCAGTCCTGGCACAGCCAACAGCTGTCCCCACGGGGATATCCCGTGCTGAGCCGTGCAGCACGGCAGGTACCAAACCACCGGTGCGGCAGCTTTGCCACTGCAGCGGCCAGGATCACCGTGGCATGGTATGGGGCAGCCCCACACTGGGACCACTCGGTCCTGCCACAGGCACTGGCTCTCAGCAGCGACACCCCCCCCCCCCCCCCCCCCCCCCCCGCAGCCCCCTGCCGAACAGACCGTCAGCAGGGGCGGCAGCCAGCTCACGCAGCCAGACACCTAAATTTAGGTATCTCGAGTGGGTGTCTCCATGTGCGCCGGCACTCGTGGCGTGGGCGGCAGGGAGTGCAGCGACGGTGGGTGCGTGACCTTCGGCGCCCATGGGCACCCTGCCAAGCCCCACCGCTTCCCCACCAAGCACGCTCCTGGCACTGGCCACGGCACGGTCTCCCACTGCCCCTCTGGGTGCTGCCCATCTTGGGGAGTGCAGGGGTCCATGCTGACCCCCCAGCACATCTGGCTCCCACATGCTCCCAGCTGGTGCCACATGCTGTCCCTCGCCTGGCCCCTTCCATCCCGCTGCTGCACTGGCTGCGGGCAATGCCGGCCCCGATGCCCATCCTTGTGCCTGGCAAGAAGGGAGCAGGAGTGAGAGCGGGGGTCTCCAGGGTGGTGTGACCCCCCCACACTGGCTGCACAGGACAAGCTCTGCCCAAGGGACAGGGCACCACGGTGGATTGGGAGGTGGGAGCCGCGGACTGGGGACACGGGGGATGCCGTGTTTTCCTTAGCCATGGCCGGCAGCTGGTGTACCTGCCCCCACCCTGGGGGGACTGCAAGGCCACCCCCATCGAGTCTGACTTCTTCACCAACTACAGCATCACCGCCTGCCGCCTGGATTGCGAGACCCGCTACCTGGCTGAGAACTGCAACTGCCGCATGGTGCACATGCCGGGTGAGCTGGGGACGGGGGCAGCCACTGCGGGGTTGGGGCGGTGGGGAGACCCTCCTGCCCCTGCAACTCCTGCCTCCCCCGCAGGCAACGCCAACGTCTGCACCCCGGAGCAGTACAAGGAGTGCGCCGACCCTGCGCTGGGTACGTACTGGCGGCACCCTGCCCACCCTGGCCCCCACCCCAGCCCTGCTGTCTCTGGTGTCCCCGACCCAGCCCCGGGTCTCGCCCTGGGAGCCGCGCTCCATCAACACCCTCAGCCTCGTCCCTGGGACCCCTCGCCTCCCCTGCCAGGCTCCATCACTGCAAATGTGGCACCAGCATCCCCGTGCCCTCGCTGGGGATGGGGGTCACTGCTGTCCCTGCCTGCTCAGACCCCCAGACACGCAGGTCCAGGCTCCCCTGCCAGCAGCGCTCACAGCATGCTTGTCCTGTGCCACCGGCACCCGCCACCACCCGGGCTTTGGCCAGGGCCCGGGCTCCATTCTCAGAGCAGCCTGACCCCCCCACGTGGGCAGGGGTCACGGCAACGCAGTCCTGGTGGTCCCCGTCCCACGCGTGCCCTCCCCAGACTTCCTGGTGAAGAAGGACAGCGAGTACTGTGCCTGCCGCACGCCCTGTGCCATGGTGCGCTACGGCAAAGAGCTCTCCATGGTGAAGATCCCCAGCAAGGCATCCGCCAGGTACCTGGCCAAGAAGTTCAACAAGACGGAGCAGTACATCGCGTGAGTGCCACCACCGCGCTGACCCACGGCCCCACCAGCACACGGCACAGCACAGCGTGACGGTGTGATACGGCACAGCCACACGGCATCCTGCAGTATACCTGAACTGGCACGGCACGGCATAATGGTGTGATACAGCACGGCCCAGCATGACAATGTGATACAGCATGGCATGACCACACAGCATCCCCAGCATACAGGAACCGGCACGGCACGGCGTGACAATGTGATATGGCATGGCACGGCATGGCCACACAGCATGCCCCAGCATACGTGAACTGGCACAACACGGCACTGCCTCCCCTGTGCAAATCTGCCCCAGCGCAGGGAAAACCACACGGCATGGCACAGCACAGCACAACATGGCACGGCACGGCATGGCACAGTACGTCCTTGTGCCACCCCAGCACAGGGCAGACCCCTCCACCCCGTCCCACCGTCACACCCCACAGCTGGGGATGCCGCCTGATGGCTCATCCGTCCATCCCGCACCCATCTGTCCCCCCCCAGGGACAACGTGCTGGTCCTGGACATCTTCTTTGAGGCCCTGAACTACGAGATGATCGAGCAGAAGA